GAATCAAATTTAATTTAAATAATATATTTGTTATGTTGGCAAATATAAAGAATATAATTTTTTCAGTCAAAGATTGTTTGAAAAATTTTGCTTTGGAAAACCTTATTTATTTTCAAAATTTAAGTCTAACTCTGTATAAATATGTAAAAATTATGCCAGAGCTAATAACGTATTTAATATATTTAAAAAAAGATTAAAGCTATATACAGGGTGTCCGCGTTTTTTGTAGCAGGACTTTCACAACTTGTACTAAAAGTACTTTAAAAAAAAGTTTATGTAAACATATATGTATAGATGCGTCGTTTTCAATTTACAGTGTTCAAGTTTAAAAAGAGATTTGATTTTTTATTCGTAAAACGAAAACCCCTTTTTAGACTTTGTTGAAACTTGGCAACTTTGTTTGTAATAATAATACTCAGTTTTCTCACATAATTTAATTTGTCCTATTTTCTCCAGTGGCGTCACAACAAGATACCAGCTTGATAAAAATAGAAAAAAATATGGTACGCCACTGCTTTTTGGTAAGTTTGAAATTTTTCTCAGATTTAGCTATCAAAAACACAACTTTTTTGTTATTTACTTTTTTCCTATCTCGCTTTGTTTAGACAGAAATAAAACTTTTTGTTTCACACAGTTTATTGTAAGATAATAAAAAAAATAAACAACACGGTATGGAAAAACAACTTATTGTATAAATAGACTTCAAAGGAGCTGTTCGAAATGCCCGCCATTTCGTTCTACACACAAATTACAGCGACGTATCAAAGACCGCCTAACGTCTCCCAAATGATGTGGAGTTATTCTGAAAGCAGCGTTCCGGATTCGTCGTACAAGTTCCTGTTGCGAGTTAACAGGCGTAGAGTAAACTGCATCCTTAATAAATCCCCAAACAAAAAAATCCAAAGGTGTTAGATCAGGCGATCGCGGAGGCCACCCAACTGGACCTCCACGATCCACCCATCTCTGTGGATACTCTGTATTCAGCCAGCTTCGTACCACCAAAGAGTACTGGGAAGGGCATCAATCTAATTGAAAAAACGAGTCTATTCTTTGTTGAAAAGGAACATCGTCTAGCATGTTATCATGCTGGGTAGTTAAAAATTCAATAACTAATTGACCGCTAATCTATTGTGCAGGATGTAAGGTCCCAACAAAAAATCCTTGGCAACTCAAAAACATATATATTCACGGCACACTTTGTAACAAGTAAATAAATAAATTAAGCAAATCTTCGAACCTATTAATGAAAATGTTTTATTTCTGACTAAACAAAGCGAGATTTAAACTTGAACACTGTAAATCGAAAACGACGCATCTATACATATATGTTTACATGAACTTTTTTTTTTAAAGGACTTAGTACAAGTAGTAGTTGTGAAAGTCCTGCTACAAAAAACGCGGACACCCTGTATAAATATAATTCCTATTATCTAGAATGTATTGTCATCTTTGACATTTACAGTTTTAATTTTCTGTTCTTTTACCTTTGCATACAAGTTAATGAAGAAGAAAATCAAACTAGCTAAATGGTATTAGCTATATGTGAAATGCCATCCATTTAATGAAACCAGGAGATAACACAGATGGGATATATTACTGTATTGTAAGTCTCAAATTTTAAATATATTCTAAACTACTACGGACAACAGGAACTTGTAAACATTTTCTAAATGCTAAAAAAATATTTTTTTATCGTGTAACTGTATTAAGTATTGTCGTGACGGTATTTCTGTTCTGGATTGAGCAATAGTACCCAGATTCTCGTGTTTCACCTCTGGTGCCGGAGTGCTGGAACGGGATGAAAAGTTGTCTCCAAGGACATTTAAATAAAGAGGACTTATTTATTTACATTTCTAGATGAAGCCTGGTCTATTCACAGTCTAATTGTATCATTGTTGTCAGCTGTATAATTATACTGGAAATGTACTTAATATTTTTATCGCAATTTTCATCACAATTGTGAAAATTATTATTATAGGATAGTATTATTAAGTTATGCATACAATATTGTTAAATTCTGTACATATTAAACTATTTTTCATTTTTCATATTTGCCATGTTTGAAGACTTGGCAACTACGCAATAATTTGTAGCGTGTTCCTCGTTCGTTCTGCCGTGGTTGGCAGAATATGGCGTCTCTTGTTAGAAAATAGTTGTGATTTTAGTAAGTGAAACGTGATTAGTGTTTATACATGTATTTTGGATAAACTTTTAAGGTGTGAATATATGGTTAGACAGTGCAGAATTTGTAAGAAATTGGATTATAAACATCCACATCAGCTATCCTTCCACAGGTAAGCGTGCTTGAAGGTGACTTTGGAATGTATATGCAACTGTGGCCATTGTCGTGCGTGTGGGTAACTTTTATTTGAATAACGGTAAAATTTTATAAAACTGACTTGGTATTTTTTTTTAAATTTTTGCTGACATAGTAAGAAAACAATAATATGAACCACGTTTGGCCATTAAAATCAAAGGAAAATGCTGCACCACAAATAAGTTACAGACATTATTTATATTTAATATATTTATAGGTATTTCAATGTTATCCCTTATACCCAACATTACAAATTTTAATCATTCATCATTTTCATTTTCCTCTATGACAAAAACCTTTTCAAAAATATATTTACAATTTTACTAAATGCACGAGCATAAAAACTGAATAAATACAACAGCAAAAATATGGTGGTGGTTCACTTATACATAAAAATACCGAAGATGCAATCAACTGAAAGTTGCATTCATTCAACCATTTGATGTTCTCCTTTGGGAATATATTTTTATGTCTCACTGAAAATTTGCCTCAGTATTCTAAAAGTGAAATGTGAACGTTTTTAGGATGCTTTGGGGATGGTGCAACAAGAAAGAAATGGTTACAGTTATTGGGATTCCAAGAAGTTATAAAAATATTATATATATTTATTATAAAAATACTGAGTACCTGTTGAAATATATTGACTTAGGACTATAAAATATTTTATTTTGACCCATCCAAAATGTACGACATTGGAGATGTAATCGTTGGCATCAGTTGGATGAAAATAAAGCCCTCTGCTTTCCCCTTGTCTAGCTTCACCCAACATATGAGATGGACTGTGACTTGCATAGTCCCCTTTATTTAAATGTCCTTGGTTGTCTCCCTTTTCACACCAACCGCAAAGGGCGCTTAAGTAAAAGAATTCCGAAATTGTAGCTCTTCCTCCATTGAAGACGAAATGCTTAACCTTGGGATAACGGTCCATGTTCTACTGTTTATACATACCTAACAATATTTACACGTTTTCGAGATGTTATCGTTTTTTTTATGAGATTTTTGACTGAACCTTTTTTTTTGCACATTGCGCTTTAGTTTGTTCTGTCTTGTGTCTTTTTATTATTGCCTTTTTAGCTTCGACGGAACTGATTTGGAAGCTTTGAGAATTTGTAGTGCGCGGTCTCTCCTTAGAGAACCTGGTATGGAAGCTTTACGAGCTTGTATCCCTTAGGGTCTTTGTCGTAGGCCCAGAAACGTCGGTATAGGCTACGAGAGCTCGTAAAAATTTATGTGAAAATTTTTAATACAGTTTTGAATTTTATAAAAATTGTGAGATAAATCGAAATTTTCAATCAATTTACAATTCAGGGTGTCTCACCGGGAACTGCGTCGATCGATATCTAGGAAAGTACTGCTCCGAAAAATTTGAAAATTTGGCAACATGGCAATGTACGTCCCTGGGGCAAACACAACTAAAATATCTAGAACTCTTCAGCACTTCCGGTTATACCGGAAGTCGTCACCAACTTCCTTATTTTAAATGGGACATCCTTATATGTTATTGCATTTTTGGATTCTACGTGAAATTTGGGGGTCACTTTATTAAATATTCCCTTTACCTAGGAGTTATAGATTTTGAGATATTAATATCTAAAGAAAAAATTTGACAGATGCAACGGTCCGCGGAGATGCTAGTAACTCTTTTCAGGAGCGTGATACCAAGTGTATTTTTGGTACCTGCAAAGGGTATAAGTAACACTAAATTATGATATACCAACAAATTAAAACATTTAATACTAGGTGTTCCATTTTTGCATTTACATTTTGATAACTTCAAACAGCTATAACTTTGTTAACTTAAATGAAAACCCCTGTATTTTTTACTATGATAAGCATATTGAAATTTCCTTTCAAGCCATACAAGCATTGTTAAGGTTGCCGTTACTATACTTTTAGAGATATTTGCAATTTTCTACTTTTTGGACACTTTCTCATATCAGACCTGTTGTCAAATTGGCCATCACCAGAAACACTGCAAAAACAATTGAAATAACTTAACATTTGTCAAGTTAGTTGTTAAATTATTGTTGCGTCTGAATAGATTCTGCTGAAAATTTAAATAAAAATGCCTGGGGATTGTATAAATTATACTAACGAAGATTATTTTAATTTGTTTGTTTTATGAAAAAAAAAGTAGCAAATTTTCCACAAGTTGAAATTACTTTGTCACTTATTATTATTAGAGGAAGGTGTAGGTCTATACCGAACCTTGTATCATTTACAACTTAGGTCCTATCATTTTTTTAATACGGAAGCAAAAAAGATAAGAGAGTAAAATATGTGAATAACCTTGTACCTTTTTTTGTAATTGTGGATCAGCGTGTATATTTATGTATTGATTGGAAAAATTATAATAAATGTGTAATGAATACAAAGCATCAGCGTGGATTTGTTTTTAGTGACATTATCTTTGTGTAAATTGTCAAAGAAAATAGATACAAATTTTTGAAAACGCTAATTAAAATACGAGTATGACAGTTGACACTTCTATTTCCTTCCATTTTGTACCACAAAATTTGACATTTTATAAAATATTCGATTGCTAATCTGACGCATTGTCAATTTAACGTTCGACTAAGTGGTTGTTTTATTTGTTACAAAGTGCAGATCGTACGAAATAATACCTAGTTTCCATTAATTTGCGGCCAGCTCTAAGGAATTGTGAAGCCAACAAACGCGTACTATGTCTAAATACCAACACAAGTGCAATTTGCACGTCCAGGATGACTACGGCCTTCCCAAATTGGCACCCAACGCACATTGGACGAAAAAATTAGGCAGAGTTCTAAGGAAATTAGTTCTTATTAATCCCAACCACCCCAAATGCAAGTCACTGTTCCGCAGCAAGTCGGTAATTTTGAGAGAAAGAAAAATTCACACCTCTGGTCCAAATTTCTTTGTGATTCACCCTCTGAGCACCCTCAATGCAATCCTGAATGCAACGTTTGTCATCTTGTGGCTTTATTTAATGGTAATGGAACCGCTAATGATTTTCATGGCAATGACTAAATATATTGAAAATGTGCATAGAATTGTGCTAACCCCGGTGCAGCTGGTTTTGATCTTATTATTTTTCAACAGAGGGTACATCGATAAAAAAACTAATCAGATTGTATTAGAATTCAAAAAGATAATCCGCAGGTACTTATTTACGTACTTCATTTTCGATTATCTGAGTACATATTTCGCCATTGATATACCGGCACGTTGGATACTACAAAGTGATAAAGAGAAGGAAGGTGCAGAAAGGTTGGCATATAGTCTTCGTATATTTGCATACAGTATAAGGATTCATACTTTAATAGAATTCATGGATCATTCTCTTCGCAATATAAAATTAAATAAAACGTTAAGATCTCTCTCATGTTATACAATAAAAACGTACCTTATTCTTCATCTCTTTACTAACGTAATAGTTGCCGTACCATACTTATGGTACGTGTACACGAACGAATATTCACCACGTTCATGGTTGATGACGACTGGTATATTTTTCAAGCAAAAACTGTATCAGAGATATTTCGAGACTTTCCGTATGGTATGCTGCCTCTTCTTCGGAATTCCTCATACTGTTATGGAGGTTCTCAACGAGCAGATATGTGCAGTGATTATATCCTTTACTGGAAGGCTGTACACTCTATACCTTCTGGCTGATATATTGAGATTACTCGGCATAGCTGGTGTCTCTGAGAGCATGTACCAAAGAAATATGTCCTTAATGCAAAGCTACTTGGCTAATCAAGGTGTGCCAGATAATTTAAAAAACAGGATATTCGGGTATTGCAAATTTAAATTTCAAGGACAATATTTCGAAGAAAACGAAATCAGGAACACTCTTTCCCATAAATTACGGGCAGAATTATTCTTATTTACTGCAAGGGAGATGATTCAGAAGACGCAAGTTTTCAAAAATTTACCCGGTCCTGCGATTGGCAGCATCATGGAGGTCATGAAATGCGAAACGTTCTCTCCCACCGACATTATTATAACCATAGGTTCCGAAATAAGTGAAGTGTACTTCATATCCTCTGGCACTGTGGCTGTCACGAACTCGGCTGGCTACGAACTGTGTCACTTGGAGGACGGTGATGAGTTCGGGACTAGTTGCCTCTTCTTCAAGCGGCAGATCTACGCGGTGGTGGCAGTAGAAACGGCGGTGGTGTTTGTCATAAACAGGAACCAGTTTATGGAATTTTTGTACCCTTATCCTGAGGTAATGAACGGATTTTATCGTTCGGCCAAGGAAAAACTTGCCAAATTAAAAAAGTTGGAAGATACTGTTACCGCACGGAGTATCAATCTACTTTCTCAACTTGAGAGGGGAAATATTTTAGAAAAGCGTGACAAAAGGCTGACCGCTGACGAATGATTGATTTTATTTTGCTTTATTAGAATTAATTTGGTTTAATGTTATGTTTTCGCAGTCATTCTTTGTGTTCAATTTAATTACTTACTAAATAAAGATATTAATGCTACATTTTATCTCTTTTATTTCGTGGAAGTAAGTCCGTTCAAAGTTTTACAATAAAGTCCTCTAAGACAAAATTATTTCATTCCTGGCGCTTTCTAAATGTCAGCTTTCAATTTTATAGAATAGCAACCACCATTTTTAAATTTAAAACAGTTTAATATTAACTATTATTTGGATATGTAAAAAATGATTAGGCTATTTAAATTTGCGTAGCAAAGATCAGACGAAGAGTAAACTTTCTGGGTTTTAAATATAGGTAATCATTACTGCTAAAATGTAGAAAAGTATCACAATCACTTTATATTGACTTGGATTTTGATTGGCTGTTGGATTATCATCATTATCCCTTAGCATTGCAAATCTGATTGTGCAGTCACATATTGAAATCGGGTTGAGTGACGATGCCAGTTATATCCAGCTTCGCTTGCAGTGCTGGGAGGTTGGTCAACGTCTCGCCTAGGAAGGGGTTAACAAAACGCTCGGGAAAAGTAACTGTAAATGATATTAATGTTCAGAGCGCTTAAAAATTGGGGAAGAAGAGTAAATAAATCGAGGTGCGAAAACTAATTTGGCAGGAATGTTTTTTGCAAATAAAACGTTTTATAATATTATTGACTACCACAATAATTCGAAGAAACATGTTGGGAATCGCTGACTCCATCGATAGCTCGACCGACTGTTTTAGTGTAGGGAAAGAATTATTTGTTGCAGCTACGAAACCAACCCCCTCTCCCGTTTTCGAGGGTGCTAAATCCGAGATCCCCTTTCTAACCCTGCACATCCCCCGCAGTTGGCCAAAAACCAACCCTTTTTTATTTCGGTCAGCGATGAACACTATATTCCTCCCCCCACCACCACCAGGTTTTGACGATGCTGATTACGAATAAGATGCTCGCGACTCCTCCAACCCTCGCAACTCCCTCGAACAGACCGAAACCACCCTTAATTTTCGTTCTCACCCTAAAAACAAGCTCCATGCCCCCCTGCCTTTTCAAGGGTGCTAATCACGAATATGATGATCACTACCCTCCTGAACCCTCTTCACCCTATCAAACGGGTCAAAACTACCCCCAATCTGATTTTACAGAATCTAACAAGGTAACTTCCCATTTTCGAGGGTGCACATCGGACTGACAATATCATACAATCCTTGAAAAATTGTGTAGATGCTAAGAAAGGAATAAAAAAATTGCATAAAATCAGATAAGGGGTAATTTTGATCCATTCTAGTGGGTTGTGAGGATTGGGGAGGTTTGTGGTCGGAAAGGGATATAAAGTTATCGCTGGGGCCCGAAATAAAAAAAGGGGTGGTTTTTCGCCAAGGGAGGGATGCGTAGGATTAGAAATTCAACGGATCTCGAATTCGGATTAAGCGCTCTCGAAAACGGGGGACGGGGTTGGTTTCGTAGCTGCAACAAAACACGTATATCAAACAAACTGTTGTACTAGCTCGGTATCCCGCCCGTCACATTGTCGTTTTACAAAAAAAAAAAAATACACTTTCACTTAAACATTTATTTGTTTGCTGCTAATAAGTTTCGCTGTTTCAAATAAGTTAATTTTTGACACTAATAAATGATTTTTTTTGGCATAATTACGCGCACTTAGACACATTTTGTCGTTAATACATGTGTATATCTTCATATTTAAAATGTTAAAAAATATGATGTTTATAACTGGACAGTTTTAAATAGAGGGTGTCTCCAAAAAGTCTGGATCTAAACCAAGTTACCTTAGTTCAAAACTTAATGATTTTTTAGATACAGGATGTTGAAATTACAATTTTATTTTAGTTTTTCTTCAATACTTTCTTTATTAACTTTAGTAAATACATAAAACTTGGAATGAAGGAGTTTTTTGGGATGAGAACTTGAAATCTAGTCTCGAATTTAATTGCTTATTTAAAGTTTTTGTTGGAAGTCTCTTTACAAATTCGTGCCCAGTTGTTCTTCCCCTCCCCATGTTTCTCGTACAGTTTGTTTATTATTTTTTGTCAACTTTCCGGAAAGGTGGATAGGATGAAAGGACCAGCACGAAGTCTAGATATGAACCCTCTAAACTTTTTTGTTCGGGTATGTATGAAACAAAATATGTACCGAACGCCTATTGTCGATGCAGCAGATCTTCAACAGCGTATTTTTTCTGTAGCTAATGAATTTCGATAAATGTCCGTCATTTGGGAGCATGTTTATTAGCACATGGAAACAACTTTGGACAATTTTTGTAAAGCATATCGTCTATTGGTAGTAAGTAATTTGTTTATTCGTTTCATTTTTGTAACTTTTTAACGAGATTTGAATAAATTTCAGCATATTCGAACACAAAATTTAAACCGCCAAAACCGCCACCAGCGCTCTAGCACGGCAACTTCGATATTAAAGTTACAGCTGGCTGCCGCACCAGGGACGGCATTAAATTTGTTTAAACCTTCATGTGATTTTTTTTTTTCAATTTAAAACGTAATGTTTTAGACCATCAGTTACTTAATAAAAGTTGCTCATCGCAACCTTTATCACCCTTTTTAAGGAACGCTCTTATTTCAGAAACACTCTGTATTTTCAGGAACTTTGAGGACGTCTAGCGGCGAACCGAAGTGATTTCGAATATAGATGAATTGGCCTATTTTAAGACCAGGAATCTGTGGCCTTCAGTTGCACACGCACTTAAGAGATACCTTGTGTGACTACACATTAGAGTAATAATAATTATTATCTCACCGACACAGAATATATGGCATTCGCATAAATAAAGACATGTATTAAATATAATATGATGTCTCTAGGCTAAAACAGTTTTAGAATGATATGTATTAAAAAATTTTGTTTCTTGGTAACACATGCAGTAGGTTTTGACGTTTGTATGTCTGTAAGTACCTCAAAACTGAGGTTGTATGAATGAAAAGCGACAGGCAAGCATGTCGCTTTTCGCACATGCGCTTCAGTTTTGTAACAATTTTGCCCGAAACAGTTTTATCTGATGAACAAAACCGTCCATAAAGTAATGTATAGCGCCTTTAACTGATTGAGAAACTTTCTAGTCGAGGTAAATAACAGAGCCACACATGGATTTGACCGAACTATTATATCTTATAGTATTTTGCAATTCTGAATTTATATTCGTGATTAGCGAACCTAAAAACCCCCACAGTTCGAATATAGCATTAATCTGAAACCTTTACATACTAAATTTTTCGTAATTCTATGCGTTTTTTGCAAACCTCGATTTCTGCTCGATTTTTTTGAGGTTAGGTGCTGTATGATTTCTAAAGGTGGATTTGAATTCAGCGAGCCCAAATACATATAGCTATGCTAATGTGAAAAGTAATTTTTTTGTTGTTTTTTTCTCATACTTAGTCTATTTTTGCTATTTTTGACCTATTTTTTGAGGTTAAAAAAATGTGACGTGTTAGCGCAGTTCTGACAGTGGATTCGGATTCAGCGCGTCTAAATACTAAAAAAAAACAGCTAAAGCGGATTTTGATTGCCTGGTACGGGTTTACATAATTATTAAATACTGAATAATCATGCTGGACGCAATAATTTTCATTTTCATTTTTATCTCTTTCTAGCTATTTCAAATTGTGACGGAGTTCTATAGACTACAAAAATGTATTCTTGACACTAGAATGCATTATTTTCGAGACAAATGATGAAATGTTAGATCATGTTCACTAATGTTTATGAAATACATAAGATTCATGATACAGTAAAACCTCTGTTAGTGACCACCTGCGTCAAAAGCGACCACTTCTACATGACGACCGATTTTGAATTCTTGTGTTCTTGTGTTTTAAAAGACCTTTCTCTTAAACGACTGAAAGCACCAAATCCAGTAGGATTTTCCAGCATACAACAATGCTAAAACCGCTCCCGTTAAAGGGCAATAAAGTACCATAATAAAAGTAGGTAAAATATTATTTAATGATAATGTAGTTCGCATAATTTATTTTTTTAACGTGGTTTTAATTTTAGTTTTATTTTGATTTCTTAGGTGTTAACGTATATACAGGGTAGCCCATCGAAAACGTACCGCAAGGCATTACAGGGTAGTAATGAACTTTTAGGCAAAATCCAAAAACAGGTAAAGTTTGCTTCTGAGGGGGACAACTTGTGGCGCAAAAAGCATANATTTATTTTTTAAACGTGGTTTTAATTTTAGTTTTCTTTTGATTTCTTCGGTGTTAACGTAAATATAATCAAACACATTTTGATCATGGCAGAAAATGGAAGCATTTTTCCATTAAAGAAATAATTGACATTATCAACGAAAGTGAATGAGTGAGTGCCAGGAAATTAGCTGAAAATTTTCAAGTAGGCAAGACTCAAGGGACAATATGCTACAAAATAAAGAAGGCAACGCTTAGCAAAATAGACAATTTCTTAAAACCGATGAGCATGGCGTGTCCCAAGTCATCTTCAGTTGGTTTTGTAAGGCTCGAAACAAACCCTTACCAACATCGAAGCCAATAATTCAAGCAAAAGCCTTTGAAGATGTTCAATGCCAAAGGACTCAGTGACTTCTGTACAACAAAGATCTTTGTGTTAATTAAAACCCCTGTCTTGGAAGAAAAACCGCAAAACTACGAATTGCAATTTTGTTCTGCGCAAATATGAAAGGGGAGAAGGAGCCGCTAATTATGGGAAAAAGCAAAAATCCTCTCAATATTTTTAAGGGGCGAGCATCGATAAGTGGATGACAGCTAACATAACGACGACATGGTTTCACAAGTTTGATGCCAAGATGAAGAAGCAAGACAGAAAAGTGGTGTTGTTTTTGGATAATGCAACATCTCACTCGAAAATTTCACGGAACTTATTTTTCTTCCGCCGACTGTTACCTCACATTGCCAACCCTTTTAACAAGGTATAATTCAAAATTTTAAAATGCTTTACAGAAGT